ATACTGTTTTGTTGAATCTCTGAATTTCTGTTATGTTTGCAAGTCAAGGAAAAATGAATGAGACTGCAAACAACTCACCTTGTCATTGTTGGGTAAAGTCTGAGTTCTGGTAAACGTGTCTCCTCCGTTAATACTGATCAGTTCACCATCTACAGGCGGAAACGGGCCGGGGAAAACCACTACGTCACTCTTCATTGTGTCTGAGCTGAAACACACGTCGTACTGCTGAGTAGATTTAGAGTAAGACCAGCTCCCATCAGGGTGGGTGGTGATCATTGGGGCGCTGTACCTGCTGAAACTGCCGTCTGTCCTGTGGCATTTGACAGCTATTAAACTGATGAGGCTCAGCAGAAAGACCATTGACACCGACACAATGGCGATCAGCAGATACAGGTTCAAATCAGAGAAGCTCTCCTCCTTTATGGGCACATGTCTGAACTGGGTCTGGATGTCAGCTGTGCTTTCAACCACCACCACATCAATAGACACAGTAGCTGACAGGGAGGGTTCTCCGTTATCAGAAACCAACACCACCAAGGGGTGAGTTTTCAGGTCATTGTCACTCATTCTCCTCTTAGTCCTGACTTCTCCGCTACTGGTTCCAATCCGGAAGAGGTTATTTCCTTTGGGCTCAGAGAGGTGATACGAAAGCAGCGCATTGTATCCAGAGTCTGCGTCTACAGCCCTGATCTTTGCCACAAAGTATCCCGCCTCAGCAGAATAGGGGATGCTCTCACTGTTAACGGAGCCGTGCTCAGAATAGGGCGCGAGGACTGTTGGATTATTGTCATTTTCATCCAGAATTAAAACGTTCACAGTCACGTTGCTGCTGAGAGGAGGAACACCAGAGTCTGTGGCCTGGACTTTAAACTGAAACGTGTTTAACTCCTCATAGTTAAAAGACTGCAGGCTGACTATATCTCCAGTCTCCGAGTTGATGTTCAACATTGTACTTAATAATGCTAAATTATTATTGGTAACTAATGAATAGCTCACCCGACCATTTTCACCAACGTCATCATCAGTTGCAGATACTGCTTTCAAAATCGCCCCAACTGGACTGTTTTCTTCCACATAAATATTAATCACAGTCTCTGAAAACACTGGTTTGTTGTCATTTACATCAGATACCTGAATAATAACCACACTGGTTGCAGAGAGAGGGGGCCTACCTTCATCCGTAGCTTTGATAGTGATATTGTAGTGGGACATAAGTTCCCTGTCTAATGCTCCACCAATGACTACGGAATAATAATTTCTATAATTCGTCTCTAATTTAAAGGGAACTGAATTTAATATCTCACATTTGACTTCACCGTTGTTGCCCCCATCTCTGTCAATAACTGAAACTAGTGCAATGGCAGTGCCAATTTCCACGTCCTCCTTCACTGTACTAAGCAGTGACGTCACCGTGATGTCAGGCGCATTGTCATTCAGGTCCACCACCTCCACTAGTACTTTACACTGTGCTGTTGAAGGAGGCTGGCCTCTGTCAGCAGCCTGCACACGGATTTCAAAGGCAGGATTTGTTTCAAAGTCAATTTCTCCTTTAACGGTTATTATTCCTGTATCTGAATCAATTTCAAAAATATCCAAAACATGATCCTGATCTTTTGTATTTAATAAATATACAATCTCTTTGTTTTGCCCCTCATCAGCGTCAGTTGCAGTCACTGTTAAGACTGTTGTGCCACGTGGAGCATTTTCTGTAATTCTCGTTTTGTATAATGTTTTTGTAAATGTTGGGATGTTATCGTTTATGTCCAAAACATTAATTATTATTTCCGATGTACCTGATTTTGGAGGTGTTCCTCCATCTACAGCGGTCAGTGTAAGTTTAATTAAAGCCTGTTTTTCTCGGTCTAAGGCTTTTTGCAGAACTAACTCGGCCGACACGCGCTCACCTTTGTGCATCGCTAAAGAGAAATATTCATTAGAATTTAACTTGTATGTGTTAATACTATTTTTCCCAACATCGGCATCGTATGCCGACAGAACAGGGAATGTCGCACCCGGCAATATGCTCTCTGCAATGTCGATAGTCTGTGTTTTGGCAGTGAAAGACGGGGGGTTATCATTAACGTCGAGGATATTAACTTCAATACGGTATAGCTTTAGTGGATTATTAATCACAGCCTCTACATTAATTGTGCATTTTGCAGCTTTCGCACAGAGCTCCTCCCTATCTATTCTTTCATTGACGTAGAGAAAACCTGATTTCAAATTGACATCGAAATACTTTTTCTTCGAACCAGCAACAACCTGAAACATACGTGACTCAAAATCCTGTACATTAAGATGTAAATCCTTGGCGATATTTCCAACAGAAGTCCCAAGGTTTACCTCCTCTGAAACAGAATAGGAGAGCTGTCCGGATACCTCTCCCCAGTTATACTCCAAGACAAGAAAGACTATATATATCCCGATGGTGGTCTTCCTTCCCGGCAGATGCATAATTCCAACGAGAACAAAGCATAGATCCCAATCGACGTGCCTTTCGCGTATTGAGTCCAAAATACCGTTTGTATGACAGAACTATATATCAGCAAATGTGCTATCTTCAACCGCTTTCGCCCTGCGTCTCATTCTAACAAAGCACGGACAGTTTATGGATATTTTTAATGTGGGAGGGATTTCTATATACGTCAGCAACCTGGGTTGGTGTCACGGTCTATGGTGTCGCCTCGTGGCCATTTGAAATAACTACAATGCATTAAAAATAAACACAAACATAGCCTTTCCCATAATTACAATTATTTATTTCAGTGATAAACGACAAACCGGACATCTCCCTTACTGTGTACTGCCAGGCCCTATAATACAATCCACACATATTTCAGATCCACGGACAGAGCATCATTGTGCTGATGCAACCGGTTATCAAAGCACTCGAGGTTAGAAAGGTTTAATGCCTAAATAATGTTTGGACTAAAGTTAAATAAAATATTAAAAGTAAGACACAGCAGAAAAAGACCACGCCCTTCAAACAGTACAACATATTTTGCAGGGCATGTGGGCTTTGATTTTCCAGACCTTAAACAAAATGCACACTCGAGGAGAAGGATTTGCAAGTCAGCAAAACATATAGTGTTTAACTATACTTTACTTCTTATATTTTAAAGTGGAGACAATAAAATCAGTGCTAGAACAGTGATATTTTTTAAATGTTAGTATGTAATTAGATGCACAATGTCTAAAGTAAGACGATACAATGCCGGACCTTGTGAAGTCTTTATAAAATACAATAAGGTTTTACGTGATGACACGTATTTAAGCAGCTTGAATAAGTACATGTATTGTCGTAGTCAACTATGCCTTTTAACAATAATACGAATAATACATTAGTTTGTATAATCTTACCTTGTCATTGTTGGGTAAAGTCTGAGTTCTGGTAAAAGTGTCTCCTCCGTTAATACTGATCAGTTCACCATCTACAGGCGGAAACGGGCCGGGGAAAACCACTACGTCACTCTTCATTGTGTCTGAGCTGAAACACACGTCGTACTGCTGAGTAGATTTAGAGTAAGACCAGCTCCCGTCAGGGTGGGTGGTGATCATTGGGGCGCTGTACCTGCTGAAACTGCCATCTGTCCTGTGGCATTTGACAGCTATTAAACTGATGAGGCTCAGCAGAAAGATCACTGACACCGACACAATGGCGATCAGCAGATACAGGTTCAAATCAGAGAAGCTCTCCTCCTGTATGGGCACATGTCTGAACTGAGTCTGGATGTCAGCTGTGCTTTCAACCACCACCACATCAATAGACACAGTAGCTGACAGGGAGGGTTCTCCGTTATCAGAAACCAACACCACCAAGGGGTGAGTTTTCAGGTCATTGTCACTCATTCTCCTCTTAGTCCTGATTTCTCCGCTACTGGTTCCGATCCGGAAGAGGTTGTTTCCTTTGGGCTCAGAGAGGTGATACGAAAGCAGCGCATTGTATCCAGAGTCTGC